ATTAACTTATTGCAGTTACAGCGCAGATGTAAACATCTATGTTTTTTGGGAACAGTTCTGATTGTACAGTCTGACAGCTGCAGGGAGGATTATAATAATAATAATATAATACTAATATGTATAACTATTAAAGGGTAAGTAGGATCCTCATGGGTTATCTATCGTAGGGTGGACCCTGGATGATTGTTTTCCCTCTCTTGTTACAGGCCTACACACTGCTGCTGTCTTGTTGTAGCCTTGTTGTTGCTTTGCTGTTATTTATGGACTGGCATTGACTGGTTCATTGTTTTATGGTGTTTTCATCTTAACTGTTTGTTATATTGTAATTGTGCTTTTAAAAGGAGTTGTATTTTAGAGTGTGTGCATTTGTTCTTGTCTCCTTATATTTTATTTCCTGAGTTGTTTGCTGTTTTGTATGACACAACTTCTAGGTTCTTTTTGATTTTGCTTTAGTGGCGGCACAGTCGCTTGTTGTGGGGGCTAGGCACGTGTGGTAAAATTCCCTCAGATGCATGTGAATGTACACACCGGGAAATGGGTATAACGCACCATTTAACAGTTTGGTAATGCCAGCCCTGCAACCTAGTTCTTTTTTTTGCAGCTCTGTGCTTTTAGTTTTTTTTTTCTTAAAAGCTTTGCATGTGGTAGAGGGGATACCAGGGGAGAGGCTATTACATGAGGGAAGCAGGACAGGACAGGACTGAGCCTTAGGACCTATCTCTTTGTGCAAAAAGGTACAGAATAAATGCTGGCAGCCTTTTAGTGGGACTCGTGCTCACAGTACCGCACTGTGAAAATCATCTGACATTCTCCAAAGAATATCAGAACCAGACTAGCATCCAGTTCTCCTTAAAGATGAGAAAATGTTCTCATTTCAGGGAAGATGGCTGCTGAAAGTGTTCTTCTCTATATCATCTTGTGCTAGGATTTATCTTCAAGAAACATCTTTTGAATTAAATACAAAAAACAAACAAAAAAATAATTTGTAGTTAGTAAGTAAACATTGACTTTAATTATGTAACCCTGGTAAGATTTACAGCAATCAGGAGTACAGGGTTCTTTGAATGCATCGTAGTTCTTGTTTGATAGTTTAATTTCCGGGCTTGCAATGAAGGCATCATCTGCAGCTCGGTGCGCGTGAAGGTGTGGTGTAGGGGGAAAAGGACGGCAAGGAAAAACTCCATGCTGCCGCGAGCACGGTTTTTCCCAGTTGAAAGAGAGAAAAGAGATTCTATTAACATTTGTGAGAGCGCTGTCGTTAGCGGTGAACCACAGACAGGTACCTACCTCAAAGGAGTCGGAGTGTTTTGAACTTTTTGAACTATTCTGGTGAGTTAGCCTAGCTCACTTAGCACCGCTATCCGATTGTTAAGTGATGACGTGAGGAATCCTACTTCCGGGCCTAAAGTAGTCTGCGTTTAATATGGCTTTTGTGTTGTTAACATGTTTAATGTTATGTATTTTCTTCTATTTATTCTCAAAAAGCTCCTAAAACAGT